GATGAGAGGACACCAAGCCCTTGTGCCTTGCAGCACAAGGCATTTTTTGGATGCAGGACCCCATTCTTTTGTGTCCATTTTTCTCTTTTTAGCACTTTCATTTCCAGACTGGGGAATGCACAACTTTGGAATCATCGATCTTCATGTTCTGAAGTATCTCAAATGAGCACATGGTCGCCTAATGATGAGTTCTCCAGGACTTCAATGCAGGTAGCAATGAGATTCCATGTCAGAGATGAAATTTCATGACAGTCCTTTCACTGGGCCAAAAGGGATGAACAACCTGAATTTTGGATCACCTAAATGGAGTGCAGAGGCCCTGAGACTCTTGTATTTTGGTAAAAATCAGGAATATTCCCTAGAAAACGCTGGGTTCTGTTGCAGTGTGCTGTAATAGCCTGTTTTAAACTTCCGGGTCCCTTCCCCAGGTGTGCCAATACCCCTCTTCCCCTTCTCTCCTCGCCCCCTGCTGGGCTGTCAATCAGTTTTAACATTCCAGCAAGGCGTCGTGTGGTTTGTCACTTTCAAAGGATGCCCCTCAGGCCCAGAGGTCATTGGTCTGTCTAGGTGTCATCCTCCCCTGAGACCCTGCCCCTCCCACCTGGTTGGTGGCTCACCTGTCCCCTCCCCCTGCCCCAGGAGCTAAAGGTAATCAGACCATGCGGTCCCCATTCTGTTGGAGCTGTTGCCAAGATTCAGACCTGTGTGACCATGGAATAAAGCTCTGGATGTTAAACCCTCCAGCAGAATCTATCTCCTTTGTCTTCACCTTCGCCTGAAGCCTTCTTCCTGAGGTAAACGGAGTTCCTAACAAGCCTGGACTTGCTCAGCTGCACAGCTGCAACTACCAGCAAGCTAAAGGCGTCTCTGGGGTAATACACCACAGCTGCCGCCTTTGGCCCAGCAGCAAGAGTCAGACTGGCTCAGGCACAATATACCTGGTAATATTGGGATTCATATTCCAATATTTGGCATCCCTGGGTGGGCAAAGTGACTCTGCAGCCCCAGACGGACTCTCACTACCTCGGAGAAGCTCTGGCTGCCGTGCGCCCGGCTGAAGGAGCCTTGGCTGCATCGCTCCCAGCTACAGACTTTGGGAATATTCCCAGAAGAAGTTTCGCGGGCTGTTCGGCACCTCTGGAAAGCCCAGCTCCATTTTGGTGAGAAGATTTTCCAGAGGAAGAACAGGGCAGCCTCTCTTGCCCATAGAGAGGTCCTGTTCTGGTGAGAAGACCTGCCTGCCTAGACCCAGCCAGCTACAGCTTCCATTTCAGGTGAGTATCTCTGCTCTCGGTGGAGCAGAAGCTCAAAAACAGGCTCTGCCGTGAGTTCTGTTCCTTTTTCGCCTTTGCATTTTTGGCTGCACAGCCTCCACAGAGGGAATTCATTGCGTTCGAGCCTTTAGCTTTCTGCCGTGTGTGTTGTTCTCTTTTAGAATTCGCGCCGGCTTGGAAGCGCAGTGTGCTCGGCTCTCTGTGGGGGAAGGGGGGCTCTGCTCTCTCTCTCTCTGTGCGGGGGAGGGGGCTCTCTACACGTGGCCGGGGGATCTCTCTCGGTGCGGGGTAGGG